TTATGAAGAGAACTGAGAACAGATTTTTTAGATCAAACGATATCGTCTACAAGCCGGAGGTGATGTAGTTGCAGCCGTCGACCTACTCTCCATGTTTTCCCATTCCAGTTGACGCATGACGTTCTCGAGAGCGGCGCTGAAGAGTTTGGGCGAGATGGTGTCGCCCTGTCGGACCCCTCTCTTGACGTCGATGATGACCTCCTTGTAGAATGGTGAGATTCTGGTCGTAAAGTTGCTGTAGAGCTCACGAAGAATCTTGATGTACTGAGTAGGGACGCCCTGGTTGCCCAAGGCTTCGATGACCGCTTCTGTCTCCACAGAGTCGAAGGCCTTCTTCAAGTCGATGAACGTGAGACAAAGCGGCATCTTGTACTCTCGTGAAACTTCAATGAGTCTTGTAACCGTGTGGATATGGTCGATCGTGCTGAACCCTCTTCGAAACCCTGCTTGCTCGCATGGCTGTCCTTCATCCAGTATTCTGCCGATCCTGTTGAAGGATGACTCGAGTGAATAGCTTGTAGATTACAGACAGCAGGCAGATTGGGCGATAGTTGCCAATGTCGTCCAAGTCTCCCTTCTTGTACAGCAACACGGTCCTGCTGGTTTTCCACGGAGTGGGTACCTTGCATTCCGACAGGTAGCGCGTGAAGAGTCGAGCCAGAGTTTTGATGATAACTGGCGGCGCATTCTTCAGATGTTCCGGTTTGACTCTGTCGAAACCGGGTCATGTACGGTTCTTCACCGACTTGGTGACATGTCGGACTTCGGAAGAGAGAACTGAAAGATTGACGTATCCATCCTGTTTCAGATTGATAAGTAGGCAGATGGACATGGCTATCGAAGAGATCCGAGTAGAAGTCGTGGATGACTTTCTCCATTGCCCTTCGGGATGCAGTAACTGTTCCATCCGGACGTCGGAGGCAGGTCATTTTGGTCTTGTAGCTGGCATAGCTTCGATGTAAGCATATCGGATTAAACTCCTCAGCAGTTCTAAGCATGCGTGTAATGTATATCCCCCCGTGATTTTTTTCAATTTCTGACTAAGGCGTTTCGAATCGGCATAGCAACCATCGTTTTCGGCGTCGAAAAACTAAGGAACGGTGTTGTTTGATTTTGGTTAACGCGTGGATTTCAATTGCTCTGTTCTTTTGAAGAAAATGGGCCGCGTCAATTGCTTATGCCATCCTAAAATTTCTTCGGAATTTCACATGTCTCTAACGCTATTCAGCTACGGTGTGCATGCAGTACAAATGAGAAAATCCTCCACTTATGCAATGCACACAAATGGTGGAGCATTTATAACTAATTAGTTCGGAATATTAGCCCTAATACTGGACGGTAGCAGCATGAAAACGCTTTATCAGAGAAAGTGCTGTGTGCTCACTTTTGCGATCGCTCCTGCTGCTTATTGTAGAACTCATCGAGGAGTGTATCCAGGCAAAACTGGGGAAATTGAAGTGCTCAAGGAGCTCTTAAATTCTCATTTTCCCGCTTTGAATCCGTGGTCAACTTTATTTGTGGTCTTGGCTCCCCTGCGAAGCTCGAAGCGTTCACGCTCACAAAGTCTCTTTTTAGAGAGAACATGACTCGTACCTACTACCCGTCTGGTACCCATCACTGAACTCGATCGAAGTTTTCTTATCAAGGCGATGCAATGATGGCCCATGCCACCACTTCGGTGTCCCGTTCAAGTTACAACTGGCCCATGTCATCATTTTCGCTCGCTCGGTACGAAAATTTTTCCAGAGAGAATCCGACAAAGTTCGGCGATGGGTCCTGCGCGGATTGTGAGTGCGACTCATATTCTCTCTGAACAGATACTTTGTGAGCGTGAACGCTTCAGGCCGATGTCATAGTTTGCGAATCGAGCGATTCGCTAGCGAATCGCTGGATTCGCAAACTAGACAATCGCTCAAGCGTAGCTTCGCAGGGAGCCGAGACCACAAATAAAGTTGACCACGGATTCGAAGCGGGAAAATGAGAATTTAAGAGCTCCTTGAGCACTTCAATTTCCCCAGTTTTGCCTGGATACACTCCTCGATGAGTTCTACAATAAGCAGCAGGAGCGATCGCAAGAGTGAGCACACAGCACTTTCTCTGATAAAGCGTTTTCATGCTGCTACCGTCCAGTATTAGGGCTAATATTCCGAACTAATTAGTTATAAATGCTCCACCATTTGTGTGCATTGCATAAGTCGAGGATTTCCTCATTTGTATTACATGCACACCGTAGCTGAATAGCGTTAGAGACATGAGAAATTCTGAAGAAAATTTAGGATGGCATAAGCAATTGACGCGGCCCATTTTCTTCAAAAGAACAGAGCAATTCAAATCCACGCGTTAACCAAAATCAAACAACACCATTCCTAGTTTTCCGACACGCCGAAAACGATGGTTGCTATGCCGATTTACGAAATTTCCAAATAAGTCAAAACTGAAAAAATTAGGGGTGCATATACAATTGACCAGCGCTCTGCTGCTTCAGCTAATACTGCTGCTCTTCGCTCCTTGAGATCTTCCTTTATCGCCTCTCTGCATAGCTTCGCAAGCTCGGACGTGAGTTGGTGATTGCCTGCAGCTCGTGCGGCTCCACGCTGGCGTATCAGTTCGAGAGTTTCCGGAGACAGACGTCCCTTGGTGACTTTCAAACTCTCTGCCTTCTTGCCACTAATCGTGATGTTCAACGAGCCGATAGTATTCTTCGTCGAACGAAGAGCACAGCAGATCCAAATCGGCCACCGAGACGCGAGAAGACGCGCTCCAAGACGCGCTTTCCGTAGTATAATTACACACTTTCTTACCATACTGCCCAAAAATTTTTTCTTTAGACTCTCATATTTAATGTCCCACCGGAGCTCTTCCTCTCGCTTCAACTCCTTCATTTCCCCACCACCATGATCAGTACGAGGAATCCTTGTCAGCCAGCCAGTCAAGCCTCCTGCTTCAAATTTTTGAAGGGCTTCTTTATCTACCCTGTATTTCCTTTTTTTCTGTGCATATTCTAATTCACTTTTGGAAATTGCAGAAAATTTTGAAAATTCTATTACAGAGTACTTGAAACTTGCCGACCATTTTGTTTTCTCGCCTGGTGGTGATAATAGAAACAACTACGCGAACGTCGAAGAAATTGTCAACCATGCAGTGGAGAAAGGGGTAGGGATTTGTTCAAGATGATATTTTTGTAAATGGTTTTGCTGTTTTTTGTGAATGTATCGAAGTATTTCAAGGTCGATGCTGTCTGGGCAGGATGGGGTCATGCTTCGGAAAATCCTGAGTTGCCGAAACAGTTGGCAGCTAGAGGCATCGTCTTCATTGGACCGCCCTGTAGTGCTATGTTCTCCTTGGGTGATAAAATTGCGTCTACTATAATAGCGCAGGTTTGTTTTTAGGATTATGTAGGCAATATTGGAATCCATAACTTTCGGAAGTAAGCAAACCAGCCCTTTTGGCGTTTCTGCTGGGGCCGTATGCTGAATGTTGGGGAGGGGATGGGGTCCCCGACGGTCGACGGACTACTTCAACTCGGTCCTTAGAACCGCCTCAATTTGGTGCTTACCTCAGGAACTAAGCCTTAAAGAGAGGACGGACCTGTCCGTCCCTCTCCAAGGCTTAGTCCTGGGGTAAGCAAACCAGCCCTTTGGCGGAGCTGCTGGACCAGCTGCACCACTTCGTCATCACTCTCCTACCGTACCGACCGAGTTGAAGTAGTCCGTCGACCTCGGGGACCCCATCCCCTCCCCAACATTCAGCATACGGTCCCAGCAGAAACGCCAAAAGGGCTGGTTTGCTTACCTCGTTGTATTTTGTCTTTTTTTTTCGTGATGGCCTACTGTTGGGTTATTCGAATGTTTACTCTCTCACTCTGTTTCG